TCTCTAAGGAGTTAACTTATCTGCATAACCGTGTTTGTATGTTGCCTAGTGACACTCCCATTCAAGTTCCACTACCTAAGGAAATGTTCCACTACGATAATGATGCAATTGCATGGCTCAACAAAGAAGATGTGATGGAATTTCTACGTGGTGAAATGCTTAACATTTCCTTAATTCAAATATGCATCAGGTAATTCAACTAGTACTCAAATTATGTTATTCAGATTAGTGGTGATTGTCGTTTAGTTTTCCATTAATATTCTATTAAATCAAGCATTGAGCTAAAATCATGAAAAATGCGCAAGTTAGAACTCATTTAAGACATTTCGAGCCGTAAATACTCTAAATGAACCTAAAACTTGTGAAATTGCTTTTTTTAGGTTGTTTCAAGCCATAAATATTCATAACTAAGTATCTTAGGTGTAATATTGGATTTAATTCAAGCATTGAGCTAAAATCATGAAAAATGGGCAAGTTAGAACTCATTTTGGCCATTTTGAACCGTAAACACTCTAATAGAACCTAAAACTTGTGAAATTTCTTTTTTTAGGTTGTTTCAAGCCATAAATATTCATAACTAAGTATCTTAGGTGTAATCTAGGAGTTAAATCAAGCATTGATCTAAAATCATGAATAATGGGCAAGTAAGAACTCATTTAAAACATTTCGAGCCGTAAATGCTCTAAATGAACCTAAAACTTGAGAAATTGCTTTTTATAGGTTGTTTCAAGCCATAAATATTCATAACTAAGTATCTTAGGTTTAATATAGGAGTTAATACAAGCATTGAGCTAAAATCATGAAAAATGGGCAAGTTAGAACTCATTTTGGCCATTTTGAACCGTAAACACTCTAAATGAACCTAAAACTTGTCAAATTTCTTTTTTTAGGTTGTTTCAAGCCATAAATATTCATAACTAAGTATCTTAGGTGTAATATAGGAGTTAAATCAAGCATTGATCTAAAATCATGAATAATGGGCAAGTAAGAACTCATTTAAAACATTTCGAGCCGTAAATGCTCTAAATGAACCTAAAACTTGAGAAATTGCTTTTTATAGGTTGTTTCAAGCCATAAATATTCATAACTAAGTATCTTAGGTTTAATATAGGAGTTAATACAAGCATTGAGCTAAAGTCATGAAAAATGGGCAAGTTAGAACTCATTTTGGCCATTTTGAACCGTAAACACTCTAAATGAACCTAAAACTTGTCAAATTTCTTATTTTAGGTTGTTTCAAGCCATAAATATTCATAACTAAGTATCTTAGGTGTAATATAGGAGTTAAATTAAGCATTGAGCTAAAATCATGAAAAATGCGCAAGTTAGAACTCATTTAGGACATTTCGAGCCGTAAATAATCTAAATGAACCTAAAACTTGTGAAATTGCTTTTTTAGGTTGTTTCAAGACATAAATATTCATAAATAAGTATCTTAGGTGTAATATAGGAGTTAAATCAAGCATTGAGCTAAAATCATGAAAAATGGGTAAGTTAGAACTCATTTTGGCCATTTTGAACCGTAAACACTCTAAATGAACCTAAAACTTGTGAAATTGCTTTTTTTAGGTTGTTTCAAGCCATAAATATTCATAACTAAGTATCTTAGGTGTAATATTGGATTTAATTCAAGCATTGAGCTAAAATCATGAAAAATGGGCAAGTTAGAACTCATTTTGGCCATTTTGAACCGTAAACACTCTAATAGAACCTAAAACTTGTGAAATTTCTTTTTTTAGGTTGTTTCAAGCCATAAATATTCATAACTAAGTATCTTAGGTGTAATATAGGAGTTAAATCAAGCATTGATCTAAAATCATGAATAATGGGCAAGTAAGAACTCATTTAAAACATTTCGAGCCGTAAATGCTCTAAATGAACCTAAAACTTGAGAAATTTCTTTTTATAGGTTGTTTCAAGCCATAAATATTCATAACTAAGTATCTTAGGTTTAATATGTGAGATTGATTCTCCGTGTCAAATTGGGTGGTTATGCCCTAAGCAGATCTCCACTACTATAATCTTAGGTAATTACCCTAACGTGTTGTACTATGTTGAACGGAGTGTCAAGGAATAAGTGTGTGCGGGAGACAAGTTTATATTCGCCCCATATTATGACGAGTACGTCTGATTATGTCAAATTCATTTGTTTCCCGTGCTTATACGTTGTACATGGCTAATTATTAATTTGTTTGTCTGTTGTGAATTTATTTACGTAGTTTGCATTGGACCCTGCTGGTGATTTGTGTTTCCAGTAACATAATCTTTCTTTTTGATTCTGCTCGGTTACCTCATCCAAGAAAGCGCCTCGTGAAGTCCATACTGCAAAAGTAAATATATTTTCCTATTGTTGATTATCATTACCTAACTCATTTATTAGTCATACTAATCAAATTTGAACTTACTTTTCTATATAATGTTATGAAGAAGATAAATTGTCGAGCTCCTCGAGGTCCTACATGGAAATCACCGATGGTAATGCCACATGATATTGTGATTTTCGTAATAAATAATGCGTAAGATGTTGCTAATTTGCTATGCATGTTTGATTCATGTACTTTGTTCCTTATGCTAGTGCGCACAACAAGATACCGGAGTTGATTGTGGCCTATATGTGATGAGATTCATGTTTGACATAGTGAGTCAATGTACAGACACACTACAGCTTGATGAGGTATGCCATTGACTATATCTTGTAATTTCAAGCATTAGCAGTATCATATTAGTCTAATAGGCCTTACACTAGTAGAAAAAAAGAAATAGGCAACCCCCCTATGGCAACGGTTCATGAAAACCGTTGCCAACTTAAGTGAGCGCCATTTTAAATATCAGAGTTGGCAACGGTTAACCGTTGCCAATTTATTGTATTTTTTTAAAAAAAATTAAAATTAAAAGGGGTAGAGTTGGCAACGGTTAACTGTTGCCAAACTAATAAAAAAAAAAGAAAAAAAAATTTAAATGTTCACATTTGGCAATGGTTAACCGTTACCAATTTAAGAAAAAAAAACCCGGGTTTTTGTATACTGTATACTCCATCCTTCTTCTTCATTCAAGCAAGCAACGTTCTTCTTCAATACTTAAAATAAAAAACAGGCGCGTTTTCCCTCCTCCCTTCTTCATCTTCTTCTTCCCTCTTTGTTACTCCATTGAAGTGGTGCGAGCTCGAGCATTCTCACGTCTGTCCGTCGAAGATAAGACTCGCGTCGTACTCCGGCCAAATTCCCTCCATTGAAACAGCTTTAACCTAAGGTATAATTAAGTAGCAATTAGGTTTTAATAAGAGTTGGGATTTTGTTCTTGCCTTTATTATGAGTTGCATAATCTGGGTTTTTTCTTTACTTAAATTTCCCACACTACTTGCACTCATAAGGATTATGAACCCTAACATGAGGGGATGGTTTAATCGTTTTCCTATTAATTTCCAGCTTAAATTTTCCAAATTGTAAGCGATTGTTGCGAATTTCTCATGGATAAAGGTAAATGTTTCAAATTTGTGTTGATTTTGGATAATTGATTTTGGTTGTTCAATTTTTATGAATTGTGCAAATTTTCTGGTATCTTGTTCTGGTGTTTAGATTCTATGTAAATTTTGGGTGCTAATTGTATAGTTTGGTAACTAAAATGTGTTAAAGTAAATTGAAATCATGTAAATGTAAATGAAATCAGTTTAAAAGTAAATAAATTTTGTTGCTGGAAGGTTAACAATTGTCAACGACAGTCCAGGGGTTGTAGCTCTGTGTAATACATAGATCTTGGGTAGTTAGCTGTTAAAATAGGTGAAAGTTTAATTAGTTAAAACTTGAAACTTGGATGTAGCTCTGAATAATACATAACTCTGTAAGTCTCAAGTTTTATTAGTTGAAACTTGAAACTTGGATGTAGCTCTGTATAATACATAGCTCTGTAAGTCTCAAGTTTTATTAGTTGAAACTTGAAACTTGGATGTTTATTGGAGATTATAGCAAATATTGCTAATACTTTTCACGTTCCTTGTTGCATTTATTGGAGATTATAGCAAAAACACAATTTAATGCTTAATATTTCCACTTAACTTTTATATATATGTAGATCCAGCAAAGACCACAATTAAAGGATTCTAGTGTCTTTCCTTTTGGTATTTCTTATATTATGTGCTCTTATTATATGTTTTAAGGTTTTAAGTTTTTAATAATGCTTTACAATTTAGTAATCATAAGTTCCGATCCTGTAATCTAGGGTTTGTCAATAACATAGACGCGCATTGCCCCCCTCCACGTACAACAACCTTCTTGCTCGCTCTCACTGTTGGTCTATGGCGCCCTTTCTGGTAGTTGTTTGAAACCCATTAATGTCCCTATTTGTATTTATTATCCATTAGGGGTGGCAAACAGATCAGGTCAGGTTGGGTTCGTGTTCGGGTTTTCGTGTTTCGGGTCAGGGAATCCCCAACCTGAACCTGATCCATTTAAGTTTTCGGGTTGAAAATCCCAACCCGAACCTGATATTTTCGGGTTCAGGTCAACCCAAAAACAACCTGATTTGACCTGACTTTTGTTAATTGTTTTAATTTTTTTTTAGCTGAATAAACTGATTTTTAGCCAAATTTTGTGTTTTCAAACAGTTAACAAAACTTGGATTTTTTACCCAATATTTTCAATAGTCTAAAATGCCTAATTAACTATTACACACTAAGTCACTAACACACCAAAATAGTCTTAACAAATTACAAACCATAATTAAAAAGAAAAAAATGTCTTTTAATAAACTTTAGTCCTTGTGACTCAAATAATATTCGAAGAAGCATTCTCATCAAATTCTGATAGTTCCGACGAGGTTTGTGGTGCGTCATCGTTGTCCCCCACCTTAAGCTTCATAACGGCTCCACATAGCATTGCCATTTGAGGATCCATATTATCTACAAGAAAAGATAGCAAATTAAAATCAACACATGTACTAAAAATAAAAGATAATTTATAAGTAATATAATAGTTCTAACTCATTTTTTACCTTCCCCAAATCCCTTAAGCAAATTATAGCCTCCACTGTTTCTGATTTTAAAGCACTTCTATAACAATCAAGCACTCGACTTCAAGTACTAAAAGCTGATTCGGAGGCCACAGTTGATACGGGGACAACAAGAACATCCCTAGCAATTTTAGCTAATATAGGATACCGGACCGAGCAAGTTCTCCAATAAGACAAAATATCAAGGTTGGTGCCTCGGGGGATAAGTGGCTCCTCATAATACATATCAACTTCAGATTTGATTGACACATTTGATTGCTCCATAGAAAAACTATCAAAATCCTATATACCAAGATTAGATTACATGAGTAGCATGTCACAAAAAATCAAAAAATAAAAATCAGATTATCATACAATAAAATCAGATTATAATATAATAAATCAGATTATAAGAAAATCAGATTATAATACAATAAATCAGATTATAATATAATAAATCAAATTATATGAGTAGCATGACACCATGACACAAAAAAAACAGAAAATAAAAATCAGATTATAATACAATAAATCACAGATTATAATATAATAAATCAGATATAATAAAATCAGATTATAATAAAATCAGATTATAAAAAATCAGATTATTAAATCAGGATATGTTTTCACTTGCAATAAAGGTAAATGCATCAGAAAGACAGAAACTCATACAGTTGTTTACCATCATAAAATCATCGGAAGCTTCATTAGCATTGGAAGCATTAGCAGTGGGAATAACATTGCTTGATGAAGAATGACTGGATGCATAAGCCTCGTACAACCTCCGTAAAGCATCCTTAACCTTAGAAAACTCAAGCTCGTATTCAACACTATGCTGACCATATATCCTCATGTAACCCCAATTGACACATTGCAACTTATATCGTGGATCCAACACCACAGCAACAACCATAAATGTACTAAATTCTGACCAATACTTTCCAAATTTCTCATACATTTTACAAGCCATTTTTTGCATAAAAAGATCTGAACTTTTCATTTCATTTTGTAACAACAACCTAACTTGTAAGACTCTATGAAAGTAGAGATTGGAAGTTGGATATTTGGTCCTAGAAAAGGCAAGTGTGACATCATGAAAAAGTTTCAAAAACTTGCATATTTTTTCAACTCTACCCCATTCTTCAACAGAAGGACAATGTACATAATTGGCATCAACTTTTTGAAAGTGAATTAAAGCTTTTTTAAAATACAAAGCACAATCAAGCATCATGTAAGTTGAATTCCATCTAGTAGGAATATCTTGTTGTAAAAGTCTAGTAGAGTGAATTTCAACATGTGATACACAACTTAAAAACCTTTGTTTCCTAGCTTGTGAACTCTTACAATATTTGGCACTCTCTTTAATCTTATACATAGCCTCATCAATTTATTTTAAACCATCTTGATCAATTAAATTAAGAATGTGAGCACAACACCTTACATGAAAAAATTCCCCACCACAAATCAACTCAAGTTCCCCTTTTAGATTTTCAGCAAAAACATCATTTGAAGAAGCATTATCTAATGTAATTGAAAAAAATATTTTTTTGAATACCCCATTCTTTTAACAAACCATACACATGATCACATAAATGAATTCCTGTATGGGGAGGACCAATGTAAGAAAAGTTCAAAATCTTTTTTTGCAAACACCAAGACTTGTCAACATAATGAGTTGTCAATGAAATATAACCATCAGTGGTTATAGAAGTCCAACAATCAGAAGTCAATGCAATTCTACTACAAGTTGAGCCCAAAACAGCTTTTAATTTTTCTTTCCCTCTTTTATACATTTAAAGTACATCAGATTTGATAGTATTTCGAGTGATAGGTTTGAAATCAGGATGCAAATAATTAAAACATCTCCTAAAACCCTTGAACTCTACAAACTGAAATGGCATATCATGCTCCACAATAGCAAGAGATAATAATTCACGGAAATAATTAGCATCAAATTCACTCAATCTATTTCCTAAACCAGAGGATGTTTTCTCTAATATCATTTGACCAACATCCCTAAAAGACCTTTGTTTGCAATTTTTCAAATGACGATGAAGATTCCTAGTTCCATTCTTACTATCAGCATTAAAATGTATACCACACTTTTTACATTTGCAAATTAGATTACCATTTTCATCAGGCTCGTCTAAAAAATCAAAATTCACCCAAACACTAGAAGAAAGCCGACGTTGACGTTTCTTACCAGTAAGAATCACACGAGGTTTACCAGAAGAAGTTTTCTGGTTTTTACCATTTCCTTTGTCTTGTGTTGTCGAGTCAATCTCCTCTTCCTCGGAAGAAAGTTGCTGAACATCGGCATCCATAATTACTGCAAAAATTATAACAAAATAAAACATTTATTTTAAAACAAGAGACAAAAACTGATCTATTCTTTCTAGAAATATAATCTAAACATCAACATCCATAATTACCGCAAAAAATCAGAAATTATTTGGACAAGAACAACAATATAAAATAAACAACTAGTCAACAACAACAAGCTAGAGATATAATCTAAATCAGACCTAAAATTAAAAAAAAAAAATCACATGCATGTCAAAGATATATTCTTGCTGTAAATTAGATCAGAAATTGGATTATTGTGCTAGAAATTTACAAAGCAACCCATCATACGTTATATAAACTTAATACTATTATCATGCAAGAACAACAACAATAATCAAATACAAATCTGTATTGAAACAGAAACAAAAACAACAAAATCAAGAACAAACCAAACGAAAACAACCAAAATGAAATGAAAACAACCAAACTCGAAACGAAAACAACCAAAAATGGAACGGAAACAAAAACAACAAAAATCAAGAACAAAACTAACGAAAACAACAAAACCAAAACGAAAACAACCAAACTCGAAACGAAAACAAAAAAATTGAAACGAAAAAAAAACATCAAAAATCAAGAACAAAACCGAAACGAAAACAACAAAACAGAAACGAAAACAACAAAAATCGAAACAAAAACAACAAAAATTAAAAAAGAATTACCTTTGAGAGTTTGAGGTTTGACAGCTTGAAGGAGATGAAGATTTGAAGATTTGAAAAAAAAAACAAGAATGGAAAATTCAGAATCAGAACTTGAAATTCAAAACAAAAACGAAACGAAATAAAAAACAATTAATAACCATTACCTTTCAGGCGTTGAGGAGTGAGAACGAGTGAGAAGAGGGAAAAGTTGAGAACTTGAGAACGAAAGAGTGAGAAAGAACTAGAAGGAAAGAGTGAGTGTGGAGTGTCTGAGAACTTGAGATTGTTGAGAAAATGAGAACCAGAGAAGTTTAGAGAGAGAGAGAGAGAGAGAGAGAGAGAGAGAGGGCAAAATGAGAAAATAGGAGGCAAAAACGGCTGGTGGGGGTTAGTCACATTTAGGGTTTTTTTAGGTTTAGAACTTTAAATTGGGCTTGGGCCATTAGCCATTAAAATGATTTTTTTTTAAGAATTTTTTATTCGGGTTATAAGGTCGGGTTCGGGTTGACCCGACCTGATTTTGACCCGAAAATTATTTTCGGGTTATGTGGGTCATTTTCGGGTTGAAATTTTCAACCTTAACCTAACCCATTTAATTTCGGGTCGGGTTCGTGTCAACCCATTTAAGTTTTCGTGTCGAAATTCTCAACCCTAACCCGCTATGTTCGGGTCGGGTTTTCGGGTCGGGTCAGTTTTTGCCACCCCTATTATCCATTACTCATACATACTTACTAACTTTTAATTTGTTTTTTGTTTTTTCTTTTTGCGTTTTTATAGGTTCATATGTGAATTGAAGTTGAAGCTAGTTAAGTTTGAAGACTACACATAGGGAAGTTATAAAGAATACATCCATTGTGTTGGTATGAATTATAAACTTCTCTAAGCTATAAATATTTCTTTCTCTCTATTATTGTTTTAATAAACGTTTTTTCATGCTAGCTATTAGATTTGTGTATTTATTATATAATGACAAACTAAATACAACAATAAATATATGAAATGTTTGCATCATCATATGCCTAGATTGAAATGGTCTAATGTGCTAGCCGACAAAAGAAGAATCCTTGGCGTTGGAGATGTCGAGGATGAGGAAGAATATGATGCCTTTGATGACTCGGCACCTTTCACTGTTCCTAGACCTGCTGTGCCAAATAAGATAGACGACCAAGCCAATTATATGAGATCAGACCACGATGAAGGAATATTAGATTGAGGTACTATATATTTTCTGTTAGTTTGAATTGTAGGCGTAGAAAGAATTATAAAATCACATTTTAGGTGAAAATAAATGAAATTGTTGAATTACTTGCCCATTTTTCTTATATTCTTTTAAATGAATAAAGTAACTTGCTTCACCATTTTCTATGTTTATTTGTATTATAATTCAGCAATTTATATATGATTATAAGTTTACCTTACAATTCAGCATCTAATAACGTGTTATGTTTGTAATGACAGGTTTTAACATCTAATGGCGGACGATCAATATCGTGTTCGAGTTGAGGATGTTGAATCTAATGATGATGATTCATCTAATGTTGGGGACCAGCTGTATGATGTGAACAAGGAACCTGATATGGGTGAGCCAGAAGATCAGGCATAAGATGTATTGGAGAGAATGATAGATGAGTTTGAAATTGCAGCTGAGCAAGCGCCTCCAATAGATAATGCCATTGTGGAGCCGTTTCGTGAGGATCAAAGTGGAGGGGGGGGGGGGGGGTGCAGGCACCAGCGAAGAAAAAAAGCTGAGGGGTCCGACAACAACTTTCAAAAAACCTGTCGGTCCTATGGTCTTGGAGTATGACAGGGTAGGCTAACCCTCAGGTAAATGGCGTCGTCAGTATGCTGGTCAAGTTGGGATTTGTGCGCGCAAAATCCCCATTACGCTTCGTATGAGCGACGTACCTACAGGCTTGATTGACACGTTTTGGAATGATACCAGGGTAAGTTTTTTTTATTCCACATTATTTATAAACAATTTCAATTTATTGTTATGTTATGGGCAAACTAATAATGTTTGTTATTTATGCTTGCAGAGTCTATTTAACATTCCAAATGAGTACGCCAATCGAAGGGTGTTTGAATCCTTACTTGCGCCAAGATTCAGAAGCTTCAAGTGTAACTTAGTTCGTCGGTTTATCACAAAGGAACTTGTGAGGAAACCAAAGAACAAGAAAGGAGGTGGCAGTGATGATGATGTCATCGATGAAAAGGAACTCCCATGGAAAATATGGCCTAGCATATCGAAGGATGATTGGGAAGCTTTCGTTCTTAAAAAATGTAAAAAGGAAGAAATTGTAAGTTTAAAGAACTCTGATGAAAATTGTGTTGTAATTTATCGTCTGTTTTATTAGTAATGAAACTAACATATCTTTTTATGTAGGAAATGAGGGAGGAGAATTCCAAGAATGCATTGCAAAAGTAATACCACCATCATATGGGAGCAATAACGTATGATGAATGGAGGGATACGTGGGTGAGTGAAGGAGTATACCCCTCTGCGCTTCTAGGGTCCTCCACAGCGCCATCTGACTCCACGACCAGTACTTTGGTTAGTCGTGCTGGGGATTTCTTTTGTTCTATGCATTCGCGGGACAAGAAAACCGGAAAATGGTCCATCAAGGCTCTGGAAATCAAAGAAATGACAGATAAGCTAGTAAGCAACTATGAACTAGTGAACTACATTATTCATTTGCATATATATCACTTTATATAAACACTTACTTCATGTTGCCATTTTGTTTTTGCTACAGCTTGAGTACACTGGAGAGCTTGTTGAAGGCAAGCTCGTCCTGACGGTAGAGAAGGACCCCTTCACCTTGGCTATGGGAAAGCCCTACCATCCGGGACGGGTATTAGGTGCTGGGGGGAGCTTGCTAGGATGGGAGAAAGTAATGGGTCCCGAATATACCAAATCTGGAAGATCCCGAGAAAGTGTGAACTCGCCACAGAACTTCGATGCCACGGTGGCATCAATTAAAGAACAAGTGCGCAATGAGATGCGCGAAGAGTTCAATGCATGGGCGAAGCAAATGAATTTGCCGACCATGCCCTTTTCCTCGACAACACCGGTCGACTCAAGTAGCCACCCACGAAGAGAAGGAGAACAGGAGATAAATGCACGCGAGGAGGTACATGATTAGAATTCAACTCTATAAGTTTTGATATGTTGAGTTACGTGGGTACGGTTCTAATTAATGTTTCAATATAAATACACTATTGCAGATTGGTACTCCTTCATATGCGTACTCAAGGGGGCTTGATACTCCGACACCTCAT